TGGGCGGAGTTAGCAGACCAAGGACACAAGTTCCAAAACGGAAGAGAAGTGGCACTTCTGGAAACAGCACAGCAGCTGACGGAGCATAACCTTGTCGCAAGGGCGCGAACTGCCCCCTCACGTGATTGCAGCTGACCCCGCGCGGGGCCGCAGAGCCAGGGCAGTGCTGAGGGAGGGTCTCAAGGGCAGCACTGAGGACAGCCGAGCGAGGGTGGCTTGCTCTGGTGGCACATGTCACTCTCCACACCCACCAGAGCACGGGAAGCCAGAGATGTCATCCACTCAAGGGTCAAAGCCAGGGTTGACCGTAAGCCCCCGTGAGCCAACCCAGCCAACAAGCAAACAAGAAACACATTTTGCCAGAGACGAAGCACGTTGCGGCCAACTGTGCTGCATTTTTACCTCTGATGGGGGCAAACCAGTTACGTGGCTCGTTATTAATGGATTAGGGATTTCAAAAATGACTCTCTAGCACTAGTATTAGCCAATTTAAATTGGGTCCAGCTGTTGGGTTAATTAGTAATTAGCTCCTTTGGAGGGCCTCAAAAGGTTCATTTTCCCACTTATTTATCCCGAGTCACTTCTTTGCACCTGTTTTTGATGCTGCTGGGGTTGAAAATCAAAAATCACTCCCAGAAACGAATGCATTAGTTGAGGGTTAAGGCCCCAAACGCAGAAACATTTAGATTCTCCATCAAGAAAAATTCCCAAGGCGCCGTCAGAAACAAGCGGACAAGCAAGGTGCCGAGGGCCGCGCCTCCCTGCAGAGCTGTCGCAGGGAATGGCCGCCGGCGCCTGTGTGTGCCGGGAAGAGCGGGCGCGCAGCAAGGCGCGCACTCCGACGGCTTCTTCAGGGAGTCGCCACGAATCCCTCGCCCGCGAGCCGTGCCGTGAGAGCTGTCACCGCGGCGCCAGAGGTCCCGGCCCGCAGCCCTCGGCCCACCGCTCACAAGACCCCCCCCACTGGCTCTAGCAGCGCCCCCGCTGTGCAGGAAGAAAGTCGGGTTTCATGGGCTCACTGACCTTGGAGCCGGAGTCTCCCACGTCCCGCTGCCCGCAACAGCTGAGGAGCGTAAGCCGCCGGGCCGGCCTTGGCCTTGAAAAGCCTCGGGGCTGGGCGGGGCCGGGGCCCATCTCGGCCAATCCCGACTCTCCGCTCGGACGCCAGGGCGCGCTGGCTCCCACCGCGCTGCCCTTGAAGGCGGGCTTCGCACGCTTTCCCGCTGGGCCCTGGGCTCTCCAGCACCCGCCCTTTCCCCCGAACGTTGCCCTCCCCCATGTCCGGTCCTGGAGGCCGCCGCTCCCAGGGCTCTGCCAGGTTCGGACCCGCAGCCTGGCCGACGGACCGCCCAGCCCCGCAGAGCCCGGCTTCGGCTTCGGGGGGGAAGCGCCGGCACGGGGGCTGCCGCACCTGTTAGGGGATTGGTTCCCACGTTCCCTCAGCGGCCCCATCCCGCGAGAGGGGCGGGGGCAGGCGGCTGGCTCTGGAGAACGACCCCCTCCGCAAACCTCGGCGGAGGGCTGCGAGGTAGAAGATGGGTGAAGCTTCCACCCTCGCCGCCGCTAACCGAGCTCTGAGCCAGGGGCCAGAAGAGGTCCTTCCAACTTGCTGTCTGGGGCCCGGGTTCAGGGACAACGACAATCACGTTTCTCTTTTAGATCAAGCCCTCTGAAGTAGACTGCTAGACAATTTCCCTTTCAATCCGCACCAGTTTAATGTATCGTCCAGAAGGCCCTGCAGGCCACATCCCTGCTTAAAAATAGCCCTGCTTGGGACATGCGCCCCAACCAGAAAGGTTGGCTGTAAATAGCAGTGACCCACGAGGACTTGGGCTGCAGCCCTGACATTTCAGAGGGAGCTGCCTGGCTCTCTGGTGACGGTCACGTACCCAGCCTCTACGGCCAGGTTCCTTTCCCTTTTTCTCTCAGGGTCCAACCCGGAGCAGGGGGTAGAGCCCAGAAATAACCTCCCACCTAGAGTGGTTCTCTTTCAGAGTTTCTATTTCTTTTAATTATGACCCAAAGCAAAAATAAATGTTACCTTTGCATGGGGTCACTGACTGGGAGAGTGCATGAGGGGACCTTCTGGGGTCTGGGAAGTTTCCTGATTTGGGGGTGATTGTATGGGTCCATGCATGTGTGAAAATGCCTCAAGCTGTGCACATAGCATGCAAGTGCCTCACTTTGTAATGGTCCTACCTCAGCTAATATATATGCTATCATTTTGACCTAGCTTACACCGAATCGAAATTTTTACAAAACCATACTTACCCTTTCTACATATGATATATTCAGATATTTTCTAGGCTCTTCTGTGTTATTTCATTAAAACATTTGCAGATTGAGACCAAACTGACTGCATGATCTTCTAGAGAGTCAGGGTTCCCAGTTTGCACGTTCTATCATAATGGACCATGGTCTCTCCAGCCCCTGGGGGCCTCCTCCAGCAGAACGGGCAGGAAGCTGGAGGTCTCTGGGGTGACGAGCCTCTCCGTAGGCTGGGCTCTGCGGGTTGGGGTTAGGAGTGAGGGGGGAAGGGGCAGTTGAGGCTTATTTCCTCCAAAATAGCTCTTTTGTGGGCACACTCTTTCCAGTCATTTCAGACACCAGTTGAAATAAATCTAGTGACCCTGAAGGAACCCAGATCCCAGGTCCAGAAAATGATGACGTGTTGATGAGCATGGAGAGGTAGAGTTTAAAGAATGGCAGTTACAATGAGAAACTCCTCTTTTTCTTTTTTCCCCAATTCCTTTCTAATGGACATTTAGTGCTCCCCACTCCCCAAGACCCCCCTCTTACCTCAAGCCCTCATCTCTTACAGGGTCATTTTACAGAAGTTAGTAAGGTCAGAAAAGAAGTGGGCACATCGCTGAGAAAATGGGGTGCTGCTTTCCTTTGGGGGACCTGGCCATCGTGAAGCTTATGACAGGGGTGGGTAACAAGTGACTCAACATAATTCCACAGTTCCAAAAATCCTTCAAACATGATCCCTGTTGTATGTCATTTATCCCTTTCTCATCGCTGCCAACTCCCTTCAAAGTTCGGGGGCTCTCTCCACACCTAGTAGCCAGTGTGGCCACGTGGCTGGCTCTTGCCACACGGACAGGAACAGAAGTGAGGCGTGCAACTGCCCTATCACTTGCTTTAGAGGAAATCTGTCCTGGGCTTACTCTCTTTCCCACTCCTGAGTCCAGCTGGAGTCTGGATGTGGTGGCAGGCAAGGGCAATGCTGTGTGGGGTGGCCAACTCATTAAATGAGAAGAACCTGGGTTCCTGAATCCCCACCTGCCTCATTGCTCATTTCAGAATTGGGAAGGGAAGCCAAGGAAATAGGAGACACCCAAATCCTTCCTTCCCTCAGTTCTCACTTGTGTGCAACAGCCGCATCATGCTCTCTTCAGCTCGGAATGTTAGCACAACCTCATCTACTTGACTAAAGTTAGAGTATTTTTATATACATTATTCCACATAGCCATTGCAGTAATTCTAAGGGCAGATTCGCGTCTTATTTCATAGGTGAGGAACTTGGCCTCAGACGGCTCAGTAGCCCATCCGAGGTCGGAGTGATGGCCTGGCCAGGTCCCCTATGCACTCAGCCTGGTCATGAGTGTTGAGTTACCATTAGATGAACGGAGCTGTTTGGGCAGTAATGAGTTCTGTGTGCCTGGGGGTGTTCAGAGGTGGTCAGACGTGGGCTGGGGATGTCACAGGAAAGATTCAAGCACTGGAAAGACAGTGGGGCTTGATGGCCCTTGATATTTTTTCTGAGGTTCCCCCGAATTCTCTGACATTTTAGTGCCTACAACGTAGGCTTCTTCCAAACTTTATTTTCTCCTGAACTTTAGAAGTAAATGAATATATCTGAGGAAGCCCATTGCTACAAAGAAGACGAGGTAGAAAAATGCAAAAAGAATCAATGAAGAGACTAATGAGATTTTCGAGAACCAAGAAAGGCAAAATTTAATTTGCATATAGGTATAAACCACACCCCACCTGGCAAGTGTTAGGCCATGGCACAAACCCCTCTGTCAGAGTCACAAACGTCAGCAGATTTGCAAAGTTACTGGACACAAACATTATACTTCTCAAAGTAACACACAGGTCTGTCCATCACACACACACACACACACACACACACACATAACAAAGAAATACATTTAAATAATTCTCTGCCAAAGAGAGATGAGGATGGTAATCACGCTACCTCACATTTGGACAGCACTTTACAGTTTACAACCTAACTCATTTTGTCCTGAAGACAGCCCTGTGAGGTAGGCAGCACAGGAATCAAGATTAGTTCCATTTTGCAGATGAGGGAACGGGCTCAAGGAGGCTTTAGCACTGGCCTCAGGTTTCCCAGCTCACAGATGGACATCCGGGCCTCGGGCTCAGGGCCAGGGCACCTCGGCCGGCTCTTCCACAACTGCCTTTCTAGGGAAAAAACGAAATGGACTGTGCAAAAGACAGTGGTCAACATCCAGGAGAACTCTTCTTTTTCTTGGGCAGATGAGATCAAGTACAATCAACACTAACGTTAATCTCAGGCTGTGTGGTGGCCAAGATGAATAATTTTCTCAGTCATCCCTGTGTTTATACCTACAACCAAATGGTTGTTTTCTACTCCAGCTCTGCCCTGTCTTGATTTTAAGTCACTCACAGCCATGGAAAAAAAAATGATGCTGTGATTAGATTTCATTGACTCAAGTCTTATTATCAGGATTCACGTAGGGGCATCTGTAATCAAGTCATTATCTACACTTACAATCGGCTGTCTTACTGAAATGAAAATGAACCACGTTCATGTATTCCTTCTGGCTGTGGACATTAGCCTGGCTCTATTCTTTAGCCATAAATAATATATAATTTATTCCACCATGTAATATATATCCCATATATAGTATATCCTATTTCAATAGCAGTAAAAATGATAAAACTTCACAGGTTGAATTAAAAAAAAATCTTTAGAGCAAAGAGAAAGATTTTTTTTTTTTCCAGGGGGAATAAAATCAAACTTTGCAAAGAAAAGCTAAATAAAATCCTTTATTTTAAAATAAAAGTTATTCTGGAGGGGGGAATAACCCCTCTATTGCATTACTTTTTTAGTTAAGAATTTAAAAAGTGGCCCAGTCATTGCCGACCCAAGTTTTGTCTTGTATAGTGAGAGAAGAGGTAGTAACCCATCATCATATACTCCAAATGGGAATGTGACAGTTTTTTCTCTTCTAAGTTATTCAGTATCTATGAGTTTCATTTGTTTTTAAGCAGTACTTTAAGATGTATGAAATCTAACAAACATTAATGGGGGCTTTGTGGGAGAGCCACTTGAAATACTGCAACCGTAGTTTAAAATTCTCTCTTTAAATTCCTTCAGAGAAACACTAAGGAAAAGTGACAACACTCCACTTCATGCCTAAACCTGTCACATAATACGTTGGCTTAAGTAAGAGATTTGTCCCTGCAGCAAAACTGGATGTTAATAACCAAAGGCATCCCCTAAAAGTCCCAAGATAATTTCATGGACAGTACAAAATGTGGGCATTCATCTGAAAGCATGAAATTGGCTTTTACTTCTGATTTCCTAGGTTAATTTAGCAATAATACAAGTGTTTGCTATTTGGTTGTTAGGGGCTGGCCTGCTTTCTGCTCTTAGAAGTGGGTCTCATATAATGGAATAAGGGCAGACACAGCTGGGAGTGCACACCCCAACAATAAATACAAACTTGAAAGGCAGAAGAGGATGGGTGCTTTAACAATCAGAAGCACTGCAAATTGCTCTTGGCGATTTTAAATGTGACCAAATTGAGTTTTTAAAAAATGCACATTCTTATCCCAGATGGTCCAGAAGTGGTGCAGATCATCAAAAGGAGCTCCCTTGGAGGTAGAGTTCTCTCTTTTTGCAGTTCCAGCAAGGTTTCAGACTCTAGTAAGGAGGAGGGGCATGTAACTTAAGAAAACTCTAAGGGTCACCATAGCAACTAACGGTGCCGTAGCCGACCACTGGGGGGCGCTTCCAACATTTTGCAGGAAATAGGCGACACAGCTTTGTCACTAAGTTGAGGAAACCCTGGCTCTCCAGAAGGGGAGGAGCATTTGGAAATTCCTCTCTCTCTCGTTTTTCTTTAGTAAGAAGGGCTTTAGTGCCTCTGGGAATATTTGGGTCAGAGAAATAAGGGTCCACACACCGAATGACCTCTTCCCCTCTGGAATACTTTGCAGACTTCAAAGCAGAGCGCATGGACCTGTCCACATGTTGTTTTGCCTGAAACTACTATGTGTGTGGTCCTGTCACTGATTTTTCCTGGTTTTAGTCCACCTTCCAAGACTATGTTTTTGAGCCAAAAAAGTTAAGCTTTATTTTCCTTTTCTTCGGCAAGACCTTGAGGTGCTTGGTGAAGTTGACATATATTAGTTCAAACCCTCAGTATGTGAACACTGAGAAATAAATTGCAAGTTATGCATCGTTAGGATCCAAACAACCCATGCTTCTTATCATGCATTAAAATGCATCAACCTCTTACTCGAAACTAAAGAGAACAAACAAGCAACTTCTTAAAAAAAGAAAAAGAAAGCATTCATAAGTAACCCTCCTTGGGTTTAGTGCTACACTGTTGGCTAATATGACCTATTGAAAATAGTTTTGGAATGGTCTTAAAATATTATAAATATTTTCTTTTACTTACTTGATATTTCACTATATAGTTATGTACAGAGATGGCCCTTACCATGCAGGAAAAATGTACATTCTCCACCTCTATGGTATATTATCAACGCAAGTGCTTCCACTGGGCCTTATGAGCCAGCAAGCTGAATTTATTAGTCAGCCGTTAGTTCTAACAAGATAATTAAAGTGCAAAGAAGGAGGGAAAACAGCTAGACAGATCAATTTTTTTCAATGTCAGCATCAATATACTTCATGCCTCTAGGAGAAATCATCAGGCGCAATAGGCTCAGGTAACAATAACTCTGTATTTTTCCTCTTTCTTCTTTTAAAACAGAGCTCTCCCTGAGAAGAGAAGAGGGAGGTAAACGTGAGTTAGCCCTATTTCTTCAACAACCATCAAACCTGGGGAAAGTAAGGTCACTTCCCCAGCACAGGGTAGCAGGCCTAACCCTGCATTTGGTCTTCGGAGAGAGGAGCTGTTGAGTGGTTGGTCCCATCTTCCATACACGTAGAATATTTGCACTCATAAATATCCCAATATTTAAAAACAAAGATGACCGGGGAAGAACTGTCTACCAATAGCACACAAACGTGTGGGTTTTAAAAAGAAAATCCCATTAAACAATGTTTTAAAAAATACAACCAGTATTCATAGTGAGCGTAAAAATGGTTTGTGTAAATCAGAAAAAAAAATCCCACATTCCTGTGGGGAGAATGGAGGAGAAGGAGCCCAGCAAGGTGCAGAGATGACTTTTAAGTATGTCTGGTCACTCAGCCTAAAACCCCGTGGCCCTTTGTGGCCTTCCGTCCCATTCCACAGTTCCGTGGGTGAGGTGTGCGGGCACCTCTCTGCAAACTCTGCACCTGCGTCTTTGAGGGCACTGGCTTCTCAGGCCCCACAGCCTCAGGGAGAAGCCCCTACCCCACCTGAACTGGAATCCCCTGGGGCAAAGCCTACTGAGTGTTTACGTTTAAAAAAGTTACGTTCACGCGGCTGTCATCGTGTCTTTCTTGCCCTGTTGCCCAAAGACCAAAAAAGCAGTTTCAGAACATGCCACTCCTCCAGCGTAAATAGTTAGAATGCACTAAAAACCATGCACATGCTGTAGACTGAAATTGCTCATGTGGTGGCCCATCCCTACAGAGGAAGCCTCGGCTTTTCTGGAAGCTTGTAATACAGAAAATATGACAGAGGCAGTTATAAACCCTAAGAGAAGACTAGCAGATGTACCCAGGCCAGTGCAGTGCCAGACAAACCGCTCAGGCCTTTTCCACTCTCCTCGTCCGCGAGTTCTAACAGAACACGGGAAGGCTTTGAAATCGACCTTCTTACCTGCTTCCTTAAAATGGCTACCTGCACCTCCTCTATGACCTTCCCTTATGAAAAACACACCATCAGCTCTACCAAGGATCAATGTTTTCGCCTTCCCACCCCAAGTCTGAAAGCATCTGTCTTTGACCCCAAACAGCTGGGCTTTCCTGGCTGGAGACAGAATTCCAGGTCCGTTCCATCTTCTTTGGTGCACGGAGGAGACTGGCTTTGGCTCTGTCCCCTGTCCTCTCAGCACTGTGGGAAGCATGGCATGCACTGTTCTATCCGTCCCGCTTTCCATGAGAATCCTACAGACTCAGGGGCGAAGCCGGACCTTCAAGCAGGGAGCCGAGGTTCAATTTTTAGTGACAGTTCATACAGCGTATCTTCATCTATGATGAGGGCTTTGTCAAGCAGGTACTGAGTGACCTGGAGGAACAGGGAAATCCTAGCTTTGGGTTCCTGCAGAACACGAGTATGCACACTTTCTGAACGGAATCGGGCACAATTCAACATTTTCTCTTGAACATTTGAAAATGTTATATCATGGTTTAAAAATCATTAATATATTCTCACTGTAAAAAAAAAAAAGGAAGAAAGAAAGAAAGAGGGAGGGAGGGAGGAAGGAAGGAAGGAAGGAAGGAAGGAAGGAAGGAAGGAAGGAAGGAAGGAAAAGGAAGGAAGGAAAAGAAAAAAAGAAAGAAAAGGAAAGAAAGAAAGAAAGAAAGAAAGAAAGAAAGAAAGAAAGAAAGGAAAGAAAGAAAGAAAGAAAGAAAGAAAGAAAGAAAGAAAGAAAGAAAGAAAGAAAGAAAGAAAGAAAGAAAGAAAGAAAGAAAGAAAGAAAGAAAGAAAGAAAGAAAGAAAGAAAGAAAGAAAGAAAGAAAGAAAGAAAGAAAGAAAGAAAGAAAGAAAGAAAGAAAGAAAGAAAGAAAGAAAGAAAATCACACATTTCCAGTCCTCTCCCAGCTCCTCACCCCAGACACTTCCCTGAAGAGACACCACTGTTATCATCTGGTTTGTATTCTCCAGAGTGTTCTGGCTTTCTAGATATTACATGTTCTTATAGAAATCTTTTCTTCCCTTATAATCCTCAGATACACCTTATTGTGCTTTCGTCTCTTCAGTGTAAGTCAGTGAGAGCTCCCCATGTCAGTACATAGAATGTGAACTGCTGTACAGCATTAACATGTGATCTATCAGAGTTTATTTAACAATCTCTTATTGATGGGTGCTTAGTTGCTGTCAATATTTCACTATTACACAAAGTGACAGTGAAATCCTTATTAGCATGTTTGCTTAGTGCTCACATGGGAATGTTCCTTTGGGGTGGACCCTAGAAGTGAAATGAAAGGAAATGACACTAAAATAAACATGTTGGGGCCTGGAGTATTTCTGTGGAAATACTGCTTTAATTTTATTGAGATACAGTTTATATAAGAAAAATTAAGAGTTGGATTAGTTTTAGCATATATATCACAGCTTCAGGACCATTTCCCTACCCCAGGAAGTTCCCTCATTCAGCTTCCCTGTCAGTCTGCTCCCAGGAGTGGCCACTGCTATGGTTTCTAGTACCAAGCATTCGTTTTGTCTACTGGAGAATTTGATGGAAGTTAAAGCATACAGCACGTACTTGTGTGTCTAGCTTCTTTCACTCAGCATAATGTTTTGAAGTTCTTCCATATTGTGGCGTCTATCACTAGCCTGCCCTGTCATTGCTGAGTGGTGCCGAGTCGTAGAGATAGATACACCACATTTGTTGACCCCTTCATCTATTTATGGACACCTGGGCTGTTTCCAGTTTGCGGCTATTATCAAGAAATGCTATGAACATTTTATACAAGACTTTCAGTGGGCATGTTTTCATTCGCCCCTGGATAAATACCTAGGAGAGAAATTCCTGGGTCATAAGGTAGATGCATATTTAATGTTTGAAGAAATATCCACACCACACAGTTTTCTAAAGAGGATGAACCATGTTACTCTCACCAGCAAAGCAGAAGACGTGTGGTTGCTCAGTTCATCAATTTTTAATTTTAACAGATGATGCAGATATAACCTCCCAAATTGCTGTAACATATAGTTTATAAGAGTACCTGGTATCCAACACTCTGAGGTTTGATATTACCAGTATTTTAAAATTTTGTTTATCTGGGGGCACCTGGGTGGCTTGGTCATTAAAGTGGCTGCCTTCGGCTCAGGTCATGATCCCAGGGTCCTGGGATCGAGCCCTGCATCGGGCTCCCTGCTCCACGGGAAGCCTGCTTCTCCCTCTCCCACTCCCCCTGCTTGTGTTCCCTCTCTCGCTATCTCTCTCTCTGTCAAATAAATAAATAAAATCTTTAAAAATAAATAAATAAAATTTTGTTTATCTGTAAGGTGAAAATGATGTCTTTATAACTTGCATTTTGTTTTCTTTCTCACTAGTGAAGTCAAACACTTAAAAAATATTTTAAATTTGTTTAAATGGCCAGTTTTGTTTCTTATTCTGTGAGCTACCTCACCTGTTCAAAGCTTTGCCGATTTTTCTCTTAAGTTGTTTATACTTTTCTTACAGACTTATAGGAATACTGTTATTCTGTCCCTTTGTTCTGCATGTTACACATATCATCTCCTGGGGCGCCTGGGTGGCTCAGTCGATTAAGCGTCTGACTCTTGATTTTGGCTTAGGTCGTGATCTCTGGGTCGTGAGATCGAGCCCGTTGTCGGGCTCTATGCTGGGCATAGAGCCTGCTTAAGATGCTCTCTCTCTCCCTCTCCTTCTGCCACTACCCCACTTGCTGTCACACGTACTCTCTCTCTCTCAAAAGAAAAAATTAAAAAAAAAAACCACCTCCTAGCCTACTGGTTTTATTTTTGCTTTTTAAATAATTGCATTTTGTCGTACAGAAGTTTTCATTTTGATGCAGCAAACTTAATCAAGCTTATCATTTACAGCTCATACGTTCTATAGAAGGTCTTTCAAATCTAAAGGTTGTGGATATTTTGTACTATATTTTATTCAAATAATTGAATATTTCTTTTTATATTTAGGCAATGAACTCATCTGGATTTTTTTTGTGAATGGTATCAGATGGACAGCCAAAATTCCTATTCCCTTTACTTGACTGGTCAATTTCTTTCTGGCACTTTCTTGAAATGTCTCCTTTATTCCAGATTAGATTTTCCTATAGACAAAATCTGCATCAGGACTGTATCCCACGCCACTGAATTTGTACTCCTATGCCAATGTAGTCCTGCTTTATTGGTTATAGTTTTAGGATATGTGTCTGTATCTGGTAGGGAAAGCTCTTTCTTACTCTTTTTATTTTTCAAAAAATCCATCTGGTTTTTTGTTTTTGTTTTTTGTTCTTGTTGTTCTGTTTTGTTTTGTTTTGGCCTGTCTAAGCTTTCTTATGAGTTTCATGACAAGTTTGTCAATTACCATGAAATAATAAGGAAAAAATGGCTGTGAGTTTTATGGGAATCTTCTGTACTACCTTCTTAATTTTTCTGTAAAGTTAAAATGATTCTAAAAACTATCTATTTAAAAATGAAGGAAAGAAGGAAGGAAGGAAGAGAGAAAGAAAGAGGAAGAAAGAAAAAGAAAGAAAGAAAGAAAGAAAGAAAGAAAGAAAGAAAGAAAGAAAGAAAGAAAGAAAGAAAGAAAGAAAGGGAAAGAAAAGAAAAGAAAAGAAAGAAAGTCCAGCTGTGGCTGGGATGGAGGAAGAAAGGGGATATATGATGTGAGACGAATTTTGAAAGATGAGTAGAGGCCTTGTAATATAGGACTTATTGGACACATCAAGACTTTTTCTTTCTTAATCTGAAGAGCAATGAAAAACCTATAAAATATTTTACACAAGGGACAAACATATCTTGCTTTGTGTTTCGGAGAGTTCTATTTGGCTGCAATTTGTAGAATGGATTTTGCATTCTAGAGTGAATGCAAGTAGACCAGGTAACAGATACTGGTAGCTTGGGCCAGGATGGTAATGGTGTAGACAGATTTATGAGAAATAGAGAATATATAATCAATAGAACTTGATAAATTGGTGTTCTTTTTGCCTTCTTTCTTTCTTTCTCAATCAGAGTTGCCAAAGACTTGTCTTTTTATTTTATTGTTTTTTTTTCTGTGAGTCAGCTTTTGATATTATCGATCAACTTTACCACTGTTTCTAATTCATTAATTTCCACTTTTTTCTTTATTAATTCCCTTAACCACCACACAATATTACCTTTGGCTGATGGTCTATTCGATAGCAAGTCTGCTGGAATTGGCGTATCTCTCTGATGATGTGTGATATCTAAGAGAGAAACAATAAGCACAAAAGCAAAGCAAAAGTATTTCCTTGTATTGCAACACATTCTTCCAGGCCCTATGCACAAGTCATCAGGCACTTTCTCCAGCAAAGTGCCAGAGCCCAGCCCTATCATTTTCTATGCCCAGCCAGGGCTTTCTTGCCCTTCAATGAGCCACATGAAATGCAAAGGGCAAGAAGATACTGATCACAATCAGGGGAACAGTTGGCCTGGGTGACCTCCGGTCCAGCAAAGGCAAGCTCTGGGTGCTACTGTCCTTGGGCTCCTTGTTCTAACTTGGTGCTCTGAACCCCATTGTCCAGCAAGAAGCCTTCAGCATCTGTCTGTCACTGTTCCGTCTCAGAAACTCATCCCTGGAGCTTCATTCCCCACCCCTTTGCCCAGACTGCATGCAAGCTGCAATACCCCTGCTGAAAATCGCTTCAATCAGCCGCAGCAGATGTGAACCCTGGTGTCCCCCATCTCTTCCATCGCAAAATGAAAAAGCAAACAGTGAGCTCCGTGCCTTAGCCCTTCTCTTTAAACCACTGCAGTCACTGAAACAGGCTGATGATGAAAGGACCACCTACCATTCTCATCTTGGAGAAATTAACAAGGCCTTCCTCGGTAAAGTTTGGTGTTCCCTCTTCAATAAACGCCAGGTCCGTCAGGTACATCCCCAGATAAGGAACAGCTGGGGGGTTACAGCTGCAAAACCAAGAGACACTGTTCTCAAGCGCACTCACCCAATAGAGACTCCCCTCCCGTGTTTCACGGGAAGCAACCGTGTGGCCTCAATCCTGAAGAATAAAGTCTTTTAATTCGTCTGCACGAGCACACTCATGGTATTAAGAGTTTTCCATACATCTCACAGCAGAATAGAAGAGAAAATCACAGCCTTAGGTTTTACATGTGCTTGGGACGATGCATGTTCGAACAACAGGCTGGCTTACAGACAGATACAGAGTATGTCCTAGCAGTACTCGTCTGCAGAACTTGTAAACTGGCCGCACTTTCTAGGGAGTAAGAGCATGGAGGAACCTCCAAGAACTGGGGAGAAAAATCAGGGTGATTAGAGCCTGTAAAGCTTGTTTTCTGCTTTCGCCAGGATTTCAATGTTTTAGAAGGCACAGACCTAATGAATATCACCACTGCTCTCTAAAGTGATGCCTTCTCTGTTTTTGTTTTGTGAGGGGCGTACCTTGGTCTTCTCAGAGTCAAGAGTGAGGAGGACATGGGCTTTTGAGCCAGAGAGAACTAACTGGGTCTGAGTCCCAGCATAACCACTTGCTAAGGGATGCTGGGCAAACTCTGCGAACCACAGTCTCCTCGTTGTGCTTAGATTAATAAATACCAAATCAAGAAACTTTTTATAGTAGATGGTTTGATTTTAGAGTAAAAGATGATGATATTTTCTTCTTATTTGGGATAGTCTGCATGCCACCATTATGTCCAAAAGAAACTTAATGTATATGCACAGTCTTTCAAATGTAAAGAAGAATCAGGAAAATACCTAGATGATGGAAGTTCTTCCCCATTTGTTTTTCTTTTCAAAGCAAAGTAGGAGGTGGGCCACTATTTGTATACTGTATATATTTAAAAAATACATTTCTGCATTATGAGTAACTTAATGATTAAGATAAACATACTTTTTAAGGGTTTCTCTGAGATTTTTAAATCTTCCTTCAGATGAAACCGTCTTCTGAAGCTTGTCCATGAGAGCTTTCGTCTGGAAAGAAACAAACAACTTAGCCTGTCGTGAAAATACTCCTATGGTTTGACAAGATGGGTGAGTTACCAAGAGATCCTCACTTCCCTTCCATAGTGGCAGGTGTTGATATCTTTGTCAGACTGTTGTGATACAATTTTCAAAGTACAGACTGAATTTGATGTTAAAAAAAAAAAAAAAAACTTGTGGAGAAGAGGGACTATATTGCTCATTTAGCCAAAAAGAGGAAAATGTGTAGAAAAGAAAAAGTGCGATGCACGAGAAATTAGGGACTTAAAGAATTGAAAAAGCACATGTTGACTTAGGGAATCTTAAATGGGAGGTCTCATGTCAGGTGGTTTTCACGGTCAATCTTTTTGGGTGTTAATTTCCAAATCAACAAGACACAGATTTGGTTGCTTGGCTATCTTCTGCTACAAAGGTTTTGTGACCAACTTCCTCAACTTGTTAGAGAAGTATAACTGACATTTACCAAGAGATAAAACTGTTGTTGACATTGATCTGGAGTTTCTCGCATGGACATGGGAGAATGGTAGGGCGGCCCTTGGGGACGATGACCCGCTCCTAGTAATACCCATGCCCAGGCAGACTGGCAGGGAAAAGCACTTGGAATGCCCAGGTTGCGACTCCTCAGTCTACTCTCAGTCTGGAAAGGAGCTGCATGCTTCATGAGAGCTTTCAGAATGACTCAAAGGGCTGCCTTCCCCATCCTGGTTCCTGAGGACTCTGAAAGAAGATAGCCAGCAAGGCCTGGGCAAGGGTGGCGGGGTCGGGGGATGGGATGGGGCCGGGTGGGCCCCCTGCCTGGCCCAGAGCTGACCTTGGGCTGAAAGAAGTTGCACAAATATAGTCTATCCTATAGCCACAGATCTAATTTGGTGGGCTCCTGACTGCACATTCGACCAGGCCTTCTGGATGTCTCCCAGCCTGGACTCAGACCTGAAGAAGAGACAGCTACAGAGCAGATGGGGTGATGAAAGAGTCTGAAGCAGGGCATATCTGCAACCAGGCACTACCTGTGATGAGACCGAAGTCCTGGGACCGGGACAACAGACCATTACCCGTTCTAAAGCCACTCTGAGTGATACATACACGTGATTGAAATGGTATATTCTACTTAATGCTTCTACAGGTAGTATATTCAAATTTGAAAAAAATATTTTAATATCAGTCTTATCACCCCTATTCTGTAGTCAGTTACCCCTAAAGCCTCATCCTGAAAAGACATGGGTATCACTTAAGTCGACTACAGGGAAGGCCTACTGTTTTCTTTTCTTTCTTTTTTTCTCAAGTTTTTATTTAAATTCCAGTTAGTTGACGTACAATGTAATATCAGTCTCAGGTGTAGAATTCAGTGATTCATCACTTACATACAGTACCCAGTGCTCATCACACCGAGTAACCTCCTTAATGCTCATCACCTGTTTAACCTATCCCCTCCCCACCACACCCCCAGCCCACCTCCCCTCCAGTAACCCTCAGTTTGTTCTCTATAGTTAAAAGTCTGTTTCCTGGCTTGCTTCTTTTTTTTCCCCCACAATGTTCATCTGTTTTGTTTCTTAAATTCCACAAATGAATGAAATCATATGGTATTTGTCTTTCTCTGATTGACTTATTTTGCTTGGCATAACATTCTCTAGCTCCATCCACGTCATTGCAAATGGCAAGATTTCTTTCTTTTTTATGGCTAATATTCCACGTGTGTGTGTGTGTATGTATACATACATCCTGCATCTTCTTTTATCCATTCATCAGTCAATGGACATTGGGCTCTTTCCATAATTTGGCTATTGTTGATAATGCTGCTATAACCATCAGGGTGTATGTGTCCCTTTGAATGGGTATTTTTGTATCCTTTGGGTAAATACCTAATAGTGCAATTGCTGGATCATAGGCCTAGTGTTTTCTTAAAGAAAATTTAAGAATCCCTTGGTACCAACCTCAGATGAAAAAGGAAATAGGGGAAGGAAAATGTAAGAGAAGGCAGAGGACTGACTTACTGACCTTGATGAAGTGTGACAATGTGTGTGACAGGATAATATGCTCTTTGTATCCAGTGTCCAATGGCTAAGGCTACCATTGCCTTAGGAAGAGGCAAAAGCAAGCCACAACAAGGGCGTCAGTATCCAGTTTTTAGATTCTGATATAGCTGTTTGAAGCCCATTTTAAAAACAGTATTCTAACACCCATTCATCATAAAAGCTATCAAAAAACTAGGAAGAGAGAGTAGTTTCCTCAGTTTTATAAAAGCATCTACAAAATACCTGTAGTTAGCACTATCCTTAATGGTGAAAGACTGAATGCTTTCCCCACAAGACTGAGAACAAGGGAAGAATGTCCTTTTTCACCACCTTTATTCAACATAGTATTGGAAGTTTAGCTAGAGCAATAAAGCAAGAAAAGGAAATAAAAGGTGTATGAATTATGGGGCGCCTGGGTGGCTCAGTCGTTAAGCATCTGCCTTCGGCTCAGGTCACGATCCCAGTGTCCTGGGATCAAGTCCCGCATCGGGCTCCCTGCTCAGCGGGGAGTCTGCTTCTCCCTCTCCCACTCCCCCTGCTTGTGTTCCTGCTCTAACTGTGTCTCTCTCTGTCAACTAAATAAATAAAATATATTAAAAAAAGGCATATGAATTAGAAAGAAAGTACTAAGATAGTTCCTATTTATAAGTGACAATTGTGTAGAAACCCCAGGGACTCTACAAAAAAAGCTCCTAGAACTGATCAGTGAGTTCAGCAAGTTTGCAGATAGAAGACCAACACGACAAAAATCAATGACATCTGTATAGACTAACAATGAATGTGTGGAAACCAAAATTGAAACCACAGTAACATTTAAAATTTGTCCAAAGAAAATGAAATATTTAGGCATAAATCTAAAAAAGTTACACAGGACTTATATTTTGAAAATTTCAAAATGCTGATTTAAGAAAGCCTAAAGAAATGGAGAGACAGGTTGTGTTTGTGGACTGGAAGACTCGACAGAGTAAAGATGTCAGTTCTCCTCAAATTGATGGTTTAATGAAATTCCAATAAAAATGTCAGTAAAGTTTTTTTAGACATAATTTTTTTACTAAAATTTATATGGAAAGTCGCAGCACCTAGAGTAGCTAAAATAATTTTACAATAAAGTGGGAGGGATATAGAAAGAACTCTCAGATCTCAAAGGTAAAAAAAAATCCAATTAAAAAATGAGCTGCAGACATTTCATTGAAGAGGATAAACAGATGGCAAACCAGCATATGAAAAGATATTTAACATCATTAGCCATTAGGGAAATGCAAATTAAAACAATAATGAGATATCAAAATGGCTAAAATAAAAAACAGTGATAACACCAAATGCAGGCAGGAATTTGGAAAAACTGTTCATTCATACTTTGCTGATACAAGTATAAAATGGTACAGCCACTCTGGAAAAGAATTCAACAGTTTCTTATTAAGCTAAACGCACAATTGCTATACGATCCAGCATTTGCACTCTTGGGCATTTATCCCAGAGAAAAGAAAACTTACAGTCACACAAAACCTATACGTGAATATGCATAGCAGCTTCATTTGTAACAGCCCCAAAATGAAAACAACCCAGATGTTCTTCAAGGGATGAATGGTGAAATTTCCTCTATTTATACCATGAATACTACTTAGCAATAAAAAGAAATGAAGTATTGATACATGGATGGATCTCAAGGGAATTTTTAAAAAGGCAATCTCAAAATGTCATCTACCATATGATTCCATTTATATAATGTCCTTGAAATGATGAAATTTTATAGAGATGAGAAACAGGTTTTTGGTTGCCAGAGTTAGGGAGGGGGCAGGGAGGAAGCAGCTATGGCCATGAAAAGCATGGCAGGAGGGATCCTGGTCATAGCACTGTGTTGTATCTTGACTGCAGGGGTAATGAAAGTGCATAAAAGTAAATACACACAGGCCCAAATGAGCATATATGTAAAAGAGATCGTCTGAATAAGGTTAGTGGATGTTACCAATGTTAACTTTGTGGTTGGGATATGTTTTCAGTTACACCAGAGGTTACACTGGGGGCACTAGGTGTAGGGTGCAGGGTATTTCTATTATTTCTTCCAAACTGTACATGAACCTACATGATCTCAACATAAAAAGTGTTTGTTTGCTTTTTAAACAGTACTTATAAAAGCTGTGGCTTTTGTTTGCAAGGTCCAGGCTTTGATCACAGACAAAAGAATTTGCCTCTGGCACCAGGAGGACTTGGAGGAGTCTGGAAAATCCCCCCACCGCCCTTTAAGAGGGCCAGCGTAGTTATCTACTAATGAAGAGTTAGCCGGCCCACCAGGGATCACCAAGGACAGGGCAGCCTGTAGGAGAGGGGCCAGTGGGAGCCAACGAGGGCTGAAGGGGAGGTGAGGTCAGCTAAGCCCCCCTGTTCCTGGGCAGGCCGGGCAGACCACACATACACCACGCACGGGCAATTCACGGTGGCCTGCGCCTGGTGACCAACTAGCAGAAGACCAAAACAGGAGACCAGCGGGTGTCCACGGCCTCCCAGAAGCCCAGGGGAGCCCTCCCCAACACCCACCCACACCCCGGGAGAAGGCCAGGAGAAAGGGCAGTGGGGAGATTGTGATTTCATTTGAATCTTGAAAATATCAGATGAAAATGATAGGCATGAACAAGGTGAGTCCAATTAAAAGAAAACTATGAAAGTTTCCGGCACACCTAAGTCTTTATGCCAAAAGGTTATTACATAAATGACCAAAAAAAAAAAGTGAACATTGAGGCCCTAGGGCATTTATACGCTTACTTTGGGGAGAAAGAACAGGTCCGTGGGGCACTGCTGTGTTCACTTGGAATCAACGGGCCTTCTCTAAATAATTTAGGAGACAACTCCTGACTGTCAACCGCACCGTTTGAAGTTGTCCCCAAATATGTTATAATGAATGCTTTGGGGTCGTATTTGCTTTTCTTAAACTAACCAACTAGAAGTGCGCACGAGTGGAATCAACTAGGTGCTAAGAGCGCAGTAATTACCCACGTTAGCACCTTTCTTTGGCAACTGAACCGCTCAATTCGGTTAATTATTTCCTAATGAGTAACGTTTTTCCTGGGCTCTGGTCTCCCGGCTTGTCCTCTCAGCAGCGGGCTGTGTGGCTCACTGCTGCTCACCTGCTTGGACACCTTGGCCCAGGTTTTCTTCAGCCTGTAGATGGCACTTCTGTTTAAGGCGGAGGTGATCTCCAGGACGCCGTTGTAGTTATGCAGGCACCGGCAAATGTCCGCCACGGCCACCCACTTCTCTATCGCGACGGTGCGGGAGCTGACGTCGGCATAATTCATTATCTGGGACGCCACCAGGTTACTCATCTGAGACAACGGAAAAGCCAAGAGAGGCCAGCTAAGAGCCAAAGAAATGCATTCAGGCACAGCGCCTGGATCGCCCATAGAAGTGTCGGGGAAACAGGGTGCCGAGGGACATGGAGATCAAAGTCCACATTGAGAGACCAACCTTCCGAAAAGACTACAGTGTGTAGTAATAATAATAGCAACGAGAAACCAATGGCAACCTGTTCATCCTCCGAGTGAACAGAGGGATTGTTTGGAATCAACATATTGAGGGAACAGGTCATTTTTCTTAATCAGTAATTTGGATGAAGGAGTTATTTCCAGTAACTGCTGAGGAAATGGAAAAGGATGAGTAATTCCTGAAGAATGGCAACCTTTGCTGATGATGGGTTTCATTCCTTGGGGCCTCTCCACATGCTCCTTCGCCCCTCACAGGTGGGGACCAAGAAACCCCAGGTAGCACAGAGAAAGAAAAGACATTTACCCCCAATCAAATCAAACTCTAACCTGATCAGCCCTCAACCCAGACACATTTAGGGACAGGGGAGGAGGGAACATTTATTCCTTCTTATCTCGCTGGATTTTTTCCCACCAGAGTGAACAGGACCTATAGTGTTTCAAGGGTAAGAACTGTAATGCTATTAGTTGAAACCAAGAGAAAAAGAGGCAGTTGGCGCAGCTCAGTGCTTAGAATATAGAAAGGAAAAGGACAGTTTAGGATTACTAACAAAGGGAATGCAAGTCTGTAATCTTACATCCATACACTTAATCTAGTGAGTGTACCAATTCTCTGACTATTCCACAGGTATTTTAGATCTCACAGTGTCTCAGAATTATCATTGTACATAGTCATTAAAAATTTACTTTGTACTGAGCACCTAGAATGGACGTGGCATTCGTTTAGGTTGTTAAGAACAGGAAAAACAAATAACTCAGCATCCCCGACCTCAAGGCACTGAGCCTAGTTAGGCAGAAAGGTGAAGGGAGGCAGAGACAAGTAAATATCACATAGTGAAAGGCAAAGCTGAGTCTGTATGGAGGGGTTTGAGGACATGGAGGTAGCAGGGGGTTATGTGGCCTAGTAGAGAGGAGGCTTCCAGAAAGAGGTCATCCTGCTGTGAGTCCTAAAGGATGAGAAGGAGTTAGCCACTGCTTTCCATCGAAGGAGGAGAACATTTGAAAAGGGACAGAGGTAGAAGGCCTGGTGTAACAGAGGATGTGGCAGTCATCTGAGGAGCCCAGGGAAGCCACGAGAGAGACACAGATGCCCAGTAGGCAGGGCTCTTGTAGGCCACGTTGGGCAGCTGGGACTGGATCTTAAAGGTGAGAGGAAGCCGCTGACAGAATTTTGTCATGAAAGTGATATAATTAGATTGGTCTTTCAGAAAAGTTATTTCTGTGACACTGTGTAAAGAATGGGTTTGGGGGCAAGGAGAGGACAGTGGGGATGGTGAGGTAGGAGCTCCCCGAGAAAAGGATGAAAGATCAAATCAAGGTTATGGCAGTAGGAAAGTAAGGGAAAAAAAGGTCTGGGACATATGTAGATTTATATATCGGGGAGTGAGGTGGGGTGGGTGACAGACGAGTCAAAGATGACCCCTAGATTCTCTGTCTGGGTGAGTGAGCAGTCTGGGCCACTACGCAAGACTAAGAACATGGCATAAGATGAAGGAGGCTTGGCAGGTCTGGGGAGTACTAACGATAAGAAACTCCATTTGCAATCCGTTGAAGAACACACAGTGCAAGCAGCCATCCGAGTGGAGGCGTGAGGGTCTGGAACCTGGGATGGAACCACTCATTTGATTGCTCATTATACCCAAGTGTGTGCATGGCACAGACGACAGAAGCTGATTTTCTACAGCAGGGGCTCTGCTTCTCAGGGGTCATGTGGCCTGTCCTCTAGGCGGCGGTGGCATGGATGCTCCTCATGCGATAACCTTCATGAGTATATAGGTACTCTGCAGGTACCCTGCACAAAGCACTGTCTTGGGAATCTACACCGTTGTTTTGTACTGTGAGGCTGAATGACTTATTAATTTACCTACAGGGAGCCTCATAGTCTTCTTTTTCTTTTTTAATGTCATCATTATTCCTTTTATTGTCTTTTAGTAGAACTGCCTAGGTAGGCCTGAAGATGCTCCCACATATGTGGTTCCGCCAAAGGATGAAAATCGTTAGAACAAAACCAATTAGGAGTTGGTGGGTATAAAAGCAGCTCCTCGTCTTACTGCTGGAGAAAAGCAGAGAAGGGAGATACACCAACAGCTGGTCACCATTGTGCACAGCTGCAGGAACACTGTAATTACGCTCAAAGGGGTCCCTTCCAACCCTGGAACGCATATGCGCTGAATGTTCAGTAATAATGAGGATGATTTGTACTAACCCAACCTTACTGTCACCAGCACCACCGGGGACCAGTGACACAAGGGCTATTACAGCTCGTCAGTGTATGACCACGAAGTAATGATGATTATGATAACAATAATAGCTGCAATCTATGCATTATTGAGGACTTACCAGACTTGGGTACCATCAGAAGGGAATCTCTTATGTCTGGAAGTTAACTGGAAGTTATTACATCACTATGAGCTCTTAGAGAAGATTTAAGCTTTTTTTTTTTTTTTAAACTTTCATCAGTTTTGTGTAAAAAGTGGGGGGCAGACTTGCTTCATTTTAGAGAAGGAGTCTTAAGACCCTGATACTCAGCTCCCTATAACATGCCCAGGTTTTATTTTTATGGTTACTCACATCATTGAAGTGTTGGCTGGTTTTCATAATGTAAGGTGTTCTTTCATTTTTATCCAGCTTCATCCACCCCTGCCCAAGAAATTCTCTGTAAGTTCAAAACAGAAGAGAAAACCAATTAAGTTTTTTAAATGGTGGCTATGATCCTGAACAATGAGTATGAATATTATTTACATTAAATTTGACCATCTCAAATGAATTTTGGCTCATCTCCAGTATTTTGCCACTTGATGCCAAAAAGAAAAAGATTTTTCAATTTCCACCTTTCTCTTATAAATGTTTGGAACTGTGTCCTTATTAGGATCACGATAAAGGCTTCTCTGAAATGGGAACACGATGACCAACACAAGAAGAATAAAGACGTTAAGTACTAACTCAGGAACCAAATTATTTTCCCTGGATGAGCTTAAAAAAATTTTAAGCCTTAGCAGAAGGGCTGAAAAATCCATCACTACCAAAAATGTTAATCACAAACAACATGTGTTCCTCCACTTTGCTCTGATATTCTCTAAGACGATGTCAAATTCACGAGCAGGGATTTTCCTTTGCTCTCCCCAGAGCCCAGAACAGGACACATGAGGAAGGCATGTAACACTGTTGTTACCACTTCATATGGGGAAGGCATTTACAGTGATAGGAGCTCAGCCTGCTGGAAGGTCTGTCTTCTGAATAACATCCCTGCTCCCTCACTTCACTCATGAGCAGCCCACCAGATCACAGCAAGCAATGGACAGACAAGTTGGTGCATAAAGGAACTATTTTGTATAGGCATGACAAAAAAAAACCTGAAATGAAATTACTCTGACACAGTCTTAATCCAGAAATGTTGAGTGAGTCCCTGCAAGAGGTTTTTTGTTCCTCCAAGTTCCTGCAAGGCTGTTGGGTGTAAAGGTGTGGCAGTTCCACAGATGAAAATAATGGGTTGATATCCAAGCCAGCAGGGAGGAGAGGAGAGGAAGGGAGAATCCCAAGAAGAGACTGACCATAAGGGTTTGGCCTTTGCTCTTTCTCTTCCTCCACAGAGGTCATGTTCATCTCCCCCACTGAATCCCCACTGCACTAGGCACTGTGGTTTTGTTTTGTTTTGTTTTTTTCCTTAGAGGGAGAGAGAGAGAGAGAGAGAAAGAGAGAGAGTGCAAGTTGGGGAGGGGCAGAGGGAGAAAGAGAGAGAATCTCAAGCAGGCTCCACACCCAGTGTGGAGCCTGGAGTGAGGGTTGATCTCACGACCCTGAGATCATGACCTGAGCCAAAATCAAGAGTTGGACATTTAGCTGACAGAGCCCCTCCAGGGGCCCCATGGTACTGTGGTTTCTAACTCAAGTCTTCAAGTAGTCACTGGGTTCATTTGGATGTCCAACAGGCCACATTTCTTCCCCGCCAACCTTGTTCATGGGTAGAGACGGGGAGGGTGAGAAGATACAATGCCAACAGAAAAGCCAGCAGGGGCATCTTCTGGCCCTGCCCCTTACGCCTCTCTAACGTAGCTGTAGCTCTGACCACCCACTGCCACGCCTGACCCCTCCATCATCATGATGGCCTCTTCTCTACCTATGACATCGGTCACATTTGTACCTCTTGCCCAGCCCCTCCTTTACCCTCGATTTAGCTCTTTCGAGGACATGGGCCAACAGTTGTCATTTGTCCAAACAAAGGTCTTGCTTGTGGAGCTCCTGATTATTGCAGCGGGAAGGGGCTAGCATGCTCCCTCATGCTCTACATGAGAAGGTTGAAGCGGTGATAGGGACGCTCCTCACGGGGCAGCTTGACGCAGCGCAGGTCCGCTCCGCACACACCGGGGGAAAGCTCCTCCTCGGGAATCTATCTACATGTTGTAGAGTCTCAAAGCCCAGCAATACTTCTTGACTCGTGGAAGAGGGTGAGTACTTGTAGCAGAACTTACAGATTTTACCCATCCTCAGTGCTTCTCAAAGTATAGTCTTAGATCACGCAGTAGTGTCTGGGATTCTCATGGAAAATGCCATTTCCTGGGCCTCAAACCTACTAGAATCCAAATCTCTGGAGGGGATACCTAGGAATGTACATTTTTAACAAGTTTCCCGAAGGATTTTAGGCACCATGCAGTTTGAGAACCATGGTTGCTGCCGTATGGAGGTTCCTATGATGCGAGGATGTGAGAGTACAAAGAAATTCACATTCCGGGGGAACCAGTGAACATAAAGAAACACAAGAGTGACCATCCTGAGAGTCCCCGGTGTTTCCAAATCAACATTTCTAACATAAACTGGGACCAAAAGGCATTGACATTGGACCAAACCATCGTAAGATTAAGACTCACACCTCTGTGCACACACATCTGCCTTAGGAATAATGGCAGTGCTAAGCCCACAGGTCCTGCCTGAGGGGGCCTGCAGCTGTGAGGGCCGCACTCACTCGTAGGGAATGCTTCTGAAGACGATGTGGTCCAGGAGGGTGATCTGCTCGGCTAGCTCCATGGCTGACAAGGTCTCAAAGCACTCAGCCTTCGGACAGTCTGTCTGCAAGAGAGGAAGGGGGGAATGACACGCCCTGACAGCAGGTGCCCGCAGCCGCTCAAGGACAACGTCCATTAGAGATTCTAGCTACCAAGAAAATGGCAGAAAGCTCAGAAATATCAGCCAACATTAACAGCCTGGACCAACTGCCAACCCCCGAGTCGAATTTAGGTCATCGCACCAGGCTTCAAAAGAACTGCGCCCGGTTATCAGTTACGGGCATAATACCGCTCGCCTTTGAGAAGTCGTTTGCACATAACTCTGCTGGATGAGACCATGGCTGCACTTACCAGTTGAATTATATCCTCTAATTTTAGGTGGATGTCATCTTGATCGTCTTGTGAAAGGACCCTAAAAAAGAAAAATCAAAATATCCTCCATGAAAAGAAAACAGACATGCCAGGAATGAAAGGACCACGTGCAGTTTGGATTTCCCTGGCTGGGAAGCTGGAGGGTTTGGGTCCACCAGGCTGTGCCTCCCACTGGAGAGGCTACAGAGACGTGAGCTGGGGGTGGGAAGTCGAAGAAACAGGAAAACACGCATGTTAAAGGCACAGGAGGATCATCGGGAGAGCTGGCTTAGCCCAGGGAGCCAACTTGTTCCATACAAGGTGGTAAATAAAACACCCACCATTAAAGCGAGCCTGAGGGGGGGCTGGTGTGCTCTGGGCCTGTGAGAGGATCTGGGCCATGAGTTCGGGCACCCCGCAATACCATCAGTTGGGGATCCTAACAGGCCTGAGCGCCCCATCCACATTCCTCCAGCCCCCGCCCTGGCCCTGCCCTGCTGATGCTGAGGCAGAAGATGCAGAGCCTCTCCCTCCTTGCACACACACAGACCAGAAGCTCAGGGGAATTCCTGGGGGGCAAGAATTTGAACAATGCCAGGCAGAAGCCAGCAGGTAAACTCTTCTCCCTTGATTCCCAGATGGCCTTTCCTGAGACACACTGACACAAAATGAAGGCACAATCACATTTTAAAAGTACCAAAAGTCCCAAGCCACACAGCCTATCTGCTGGAGGAAGGTAGTTTTCAAAGAAATAATGACGTGATGTTCCGCGGTGCTCTGAATGGATGAAAACAAAACCACCTGCCCTCAAAAAGAGGAAATCAACAGAGATGGGTTAGTGAATACCCATGTGTATACATAGCCATGTGTGAGCCATCTGACATACACTCTCTTGTATCATCAAAAATCCCTTCAGAGTAAGCATTCTGATCTCCATCTTACAGATGAGGACACCAAAGCTCAAAGGAACTAACCTGCCCAGGGTTCGGTCACTTAAGCTGCCCCGTTGCCCTCGCTTGTCTCAGGCAGGTGTTAAAGGCACCTCTTCAAGGAGCCAGCACAAAACACATCCAAAAAAGTCCAGTCTTTTCCCTCTATCTTCCTCTCTTACAAAAGCTCCCTCCTGTTTACCAGGATAAAGATTCCTTCTAGATTCAAGGAGTAACTGCCCTCTTGTTAGCAATGAACCGTATCACTTGTGAGTGGAAAGAAATATTCATCAGATGATCTAAGGCAGATTAAGGTGAGGAAAAAATAAGCAAATACAAGTTTTTCTCCAAAGACTGTTAAAATCACACTTAAGGATTACACATGGGATAAAAGGGACTCTTTCCCAAAGCTCATGTCATTCTTTCCAGGGTAGTCTAGGTTCCTGGAGAGAGCTCAGTGGCCACATAACTATGTGTACCCAAGGAAAAGATTTTTTTTTTTTTAAATGACGCTGGGCAATAGTTTTTCCCTGGAAAGAAGTGGTCAAGAAGTTAGTTAGCTTTTATCAAATGTTCCTTTCCTCAGTCATCTCACACTAGTGTTCCAAGATGTGTTCTGGTCTTGTTAAATTATCTGATGTTTTCTCTTTTCCCAAATGCCTGTTGATGCTTCCTGGGGCCTTGTGAGGTTTGTGGGTCACCTTTTTATGACTCAAACCCACTCCAGCTGCCCACCCATGAAGTCATTGTTTGTTTGTTTTCAATTTATGGCATGTTAGTTGTTTACCAAGATTTATGTCTACATAGATTCAGAAGCCAGCTAGTCAGACAACATTGGGGAGGAAGTGGTATTTTAGAAACAGAAAAGTCTTGGGGTGCCTGGGTGGTTCAGTCGTTAGGTGTCTGCCTTTGGCTCAGATCATGATCCCAGGGTCCTGGGATTGAGTCCTGCATCGAGCCCCACATCGAGCTCTGCGTCGGGCTCCCTGCTCAGCAGGAAGCCTGCTTCTCCCTCTCCCACTCCCTGTCTCTCTCTGTCAAATAAATAAATAAAATCTTAAAAAAAAAAAAAAAGAAATAGAAAAGTCTTGAGCAGAGGTTTTTAGTCACAAACAAGACAACAAACTATGCATGCTAATTAAATTTCTTCATCATAAAGCTATCCCTGTGAGACTGTGTGAGACAGAAAGGCTTATTATTGGAAACTTTCAGTTTCCTGTATAAATGTAATATATGTTTAAATACATTCATGTTTACATCTCATACAGCTTGACTGCCTATACATCTCTAATGTCAAGGCTACATTTAACTACAATGTGATATGTTTTTCTCTCTCGCAACCACAACTTGTATTCACTGGGAGGTATGTTCACAAATTTTCCCTTCGATGGGAAGGCCCCTCTACCTCTGGCCCAGTTCCAATCGAGGATGGATGTGCTCCTAGTCTTTTGACTGCCTTCGTGCTTTGATGGACACTCCAGGATACTGGGTTTCTCTCACATCTCCCAGCCGGCATGACCAGTTAAGTATCTGTGCATTTATAATGAAATGCCAAATAAAACATTTAAAAGGAAATGGGATTATTCAAAGTTCTGTGACTGGAAAAGTTCTCTTTCAACAGTAGAAATCAGATAGGCTTAAAAACAGAGCCAAGAGAAATTGGCCTCTGTCCGCAGACTGGTCCACACTCTCTGGGCTGCCTGCTTGCTACTGAGACCGGCTGGCATGGCCCCATGGCGTGACCTGCCTCATCTCTGCTCCTCCTCAATTTGTGAATGGTTTAACTGCTTGTTGCTTCACTTGCTGGGACCTGCCAGACCACCTCTTCCGTCCTTTGCTTTCTTGGGCATGGCTTTTCTTCCTTCCAGGCTTACTTGAGCCCATTGCTTCCTATGCTTTGACATATTTTTCTAAAAAGTCAGATGTCCACAAATGCATGGAAACCTTGAGTACTAAAATCTCCTGGTTTTGGTTGGAAATAATTCCCTGTTTGTTTCCAAATTAAGAAATAAATTAACAGAAACATCTTTGTAATTTTCCATGTGATTACTATTTTATATAATTGTCATATAATTATTAAATAATCCTTTTGGTTTCTGTTTCTTTCTCATATACTCCATGATGATATTTTTTCACAAAGAGATTTCATGAATGATGACACTCCATCAGTGATGGTTATATCGAGGTCTTACTTCCTACTCTACTTTCTAATCATTGTGACATGATTTAAAATATATATATGTAAATGTCATACATATAAACACAAGTATCTGTATGATAAGTTAGCAAAAACCCTGATAAATTAATGAATCATTTATTCCTCCTATAATCACAATCTTGTGTGCTGGCGCAGGGACCCTTAAGCTTGGTGCAGGTGGAATGACTTGGCAGAGGGACTTCAATCAAAGATCAGTAGTTTTCTTGCACCAGGATTTTTTTTTTTTTGCACAAATCTATTCACTCACTTGTTGGGAAGATAAGTTAGTGCCTCCGAGACCCAGCTGACCCAAATGGGACTCAGGGTTCGGCTGTTTGCTCAGCTAATGGGCTGGTGACCCCACGGGTATCTGTCTGCTTTAGTTGATATGCTCAGGGCTAAACAAAGACTTTTGTTTGTTTTGGCCTCATGGGAAGAAAGATGGTCAGAGGTAGGAGAATGGATGACGTAATATCTATTCCCTACTTGGCTCAGTGGGTGAATTTTGAATTGTTATGGTGAAAGATGTAGAACCAGGAGCCAAAGGAGCTATTTTCACGAGAGACCAAGACTCCCGGTTGAGTGAGGCTGCTCTGGGGCCCGTGTGGCTCAGGGATGCGGCAGGTGGCATCTTTGTCAGCTTTCTGATAGGGAAATGGTGGCTTTAGAGGACTGTCAGATAGCATTCTTGACAGAAACAACGGCGGCACTGATAAGGTCTCTCCCTCAAGCGGTGTCCGGGGCAGTGAGCTTGAATAAAGACGCTGAGGCAGAAAAATGACTGGATTTGTTCCTGAGCACACATTTCTTGGGACTTCTGGAACACTTTGGGAAGACTTTGCAAGGGATCAGAAGTGTGGGTGGGCAGCTGGGAGCATCCCATCAGTAGAACTGCTTTTTTGTTTTGCTTTTTGCTTCTTTTTTTCTTTTACTAAATAGCAAGTGGGTCAGGACTATAGTTTCTTTTGTAACAACTATATTGAGATATAATTCCCATGTCAAATAATTCATCCACTTAGAGTGTACATTTGAAAGATTTTTTATTGCATTCATGTCTTTGTGCAATATTAAACTGGCTTTTAATGTTATTATAATCTCTTTTGTATAGACAAGGTGATGAAGCTAAGGAAAGTTGAGTTTGACTAAGACCTACCTTGGTTTTACTTACGCCATATTGCCTAGTCGGAAGAAACTATTTTTCCTAAGAGCCCTGTCAGAGCTAATAATAATAATAATAATAATAATAATAATAAGTGTAGCAGTAAAACGAGTGCTACTTATGTTTCAGGCATGTGTTAACAACCTCTTTGTACATACTGTATCGTGTAATCATCACAACAACTCAGTAGTAGGTACTACTGGTCTCATTTTATAAATGAGGGAACTGAGGTTTAGACTGGTTAAGGAACCTGACGGCTGTAAGTGGCTGAACCAAGATAATACCTGTGAATCCTGCAAAAGTGAGAATCAGACTCTGCTCCATGTCATGCTCCCAGCTGTACCATCTACTAAAATTTCTATTTCTTATTGATCCCACACCTCTAATTCTCAGGTCATTTATTCAACAAAAAGAATTTGCACATCTTAAGCCTGATAAATAATAAAGGCCTGGAATGGTAAATAGGATTCATCTTAAGGGCCAACTCCAATTAATGACATGCCAGTTAACAACGGAGTTCTGAGCTCACCCACCGGTGTCGGCAGAAAGCCCTCAGGATTGATTGGTAATGTCTGGTATGGGTGTTGTGAGGGGATGGGCAACACGGTGTTTCATATTTGCCAATCCTCAGAGTCTTTCCCAGTCTGAACACCCTCACTTTCCTGACGGCTGTCCAGTCAAATAAATGTCCCTGGGGGCACAAACTTCTAGAAAGCAGTTTCAAAATATCAGCATTTGAAATACAGACAGCATAATAAACTGTTTATATAAAGAAAAGAGGAATAGAAATCATTTACAGATACCACTCATCCAACTGAAACCAGGCTTTATCTGAAAATGTATTTACGATTTTAAAATCTGAAAATAAACATAGGAACAGAGGCCCTAGGCTTATTTAGGTGTCTTCACAGGGTGGACAAAGTGAAGAGGGCCCTTAATAGATTCCTACAGTTGCTCTAACAAAGTACCACAAACTAGGTGGCATAAAACAACAGAAATTTATTGTCTTAGAGTTCTGGAGGCTAGAAGTTCAAGATCAAGGTGTCAGCAGGGCCATGTTCCCTCTGAAACCTGCAGAGGAATCCTCCCTTGTGTCTTGCTAACTTTCAGGGGTTTGCGAGCAGATGGCATTCCTTGCCTTCAGCTGCCTCACCCCAGTCTCTGCTCCATCTTCCCACGACATTCTCTGTGTCTCTCTCTGTCTTCCCGTGGCCATCTTCTCGTAAGGACACCAGTTATATTGGATTAGGGGCCCATGCTACTCCAGTATGACCTCATCTTAATTAATGACCCTATTTCTAAACAGAATCACATTTTGAGGTACTCAGGGATAGAACGTCAACATATCTGTTTTGGGGCAGACACATTCCACCTGCAAGAGCCCCTAGACCAAAGAAGGGTCCGGTGATGGGATCCTGAATCACTTTTGAGCCAATTGTTAAGATGCTAGACCAAAATCCAGCATCGCTGCGTTAGAGAGTGACTTCCAAAAACACGGTAGACGGAGCTACGGTGGACTCCCTTCTATACAGAATTCTGGATAACAAAGAAACAATATAGTCAAGGTTAGAAGAAAGAAAGGACTCTTTCCAGAGATTATAAATGAAGATGGAACTAGAAGCAAGAATGGTAAAGGGCTACCAGGTCAAGCAGATAGATGCTGGGCTTCCCATCCCTAAGTAGGGACAAATGATATGGCCATGAGTTGGGAGGAAACTGTAACTGAAATGTCTAGTCCTCCTGTAGAGCAGACTAGAAAAACATCCACCTATGAGTTCAAAAAGCTATAGGAAAGCTTGTTACCTGCTTGGATGCTGGGTGTAACGACAGCCACAAACAGTCTCTCGTGGGAAACCCAAAGTCCAAGCTTTGATCACATCTACGCGCTTTTATACAACCTACATGATGTGGGAATCCCAACGTGGTAAGTTGTCAGTAAAACTGGTCTAGGACCGGTGAAGCAAGACAGAGAAAACACGTAACTACTAGAAGGCAGTACATCCACAAACCAGGGGCATGGGACTTGCGCAGAAATGCTACCGCCCTGCTCATAAACATGAGCTTATGATCAACAACTAGAACTGAGGGCAGGAAAACCACCTCTCTCTGCAGTACCCGCTGGGGCTGCAGGAGGGGATCCTCAAGGCACCCCCCTTTTCACTTGTGGTTCTGCAGGAAGCCACTGTCTGCCCCCACGGACGGGAGCAACTGCACTCCTGCACACCACACGAGTTACGGCGCCCAGGCCAAGTCTTCCTGAGGCCGCAGACACCAACCTGCCCCCCAGAAAAGAGAAGATGATACATCACCCTTTGTGGTGACAGCAGTCTCCCTGCTGCCCCCAGAAGTCTAAGATGCATCTTCCTGGTCTGATAGGATCTTATTTTCTAGAACATCGCACGAATCAACCAATGTCATTAGGAGGCCCCTGCAACTGCATTTTACCTCAGGATATTCGCCGTGGCTTTCCTTTCCTGGGGAAGAAGGTCTGGGTCTCGCAAAACTTCTTCTAGCAAATTGAGGACATTCATCTTTAGTTCATTGTTGAGTTCAAAATCCTACAAAATAAAATGCATCTTGTAAAATTTTAGTTGCAAAGGTTTTAGCTCCATGATATGTGACACCATTTCTCATGATAAAATCTCTAGAAGCTATGTATGCAAATTAAAATATATGGACCCTAGGATTGCTTTCCCCACCAGAGATCCTGAGTTCATTGGTTTGGGATGGGGTCCTATTGTTGGTATTTCTGACAGGCCCCATCCCAGGAGGGTGGGAAAATTCCTCAAAGGTATAAACGCTTCCCTTAGCCTGAACCACTGTGCCTCCTCCCCACGTTTACTTCTACTCATCTTTCACATCTAGGAGGTGATCAACTTTCTCCCAGGAGCTTCTTTATTAAATCCAATGGGATAAAGGGCTTTGCTTTGATGCTCCCAAGGTACCCTCTACCATAACCTGCTGTTTTGTAAAGGCTGAAATAATGGTCTGGTTTCCCACTGGACCATGTGTCAGATCAGTAACTGGGGCATAGCAGTAGCTCAAAAAAAGATCTTTTGCAAGAATAAAATCTGTCATTTGGGCAGTGACTTGAACTAAGAACTTCAATACAGGTATGCTAAGGGCTAAAGAATAAATGACATTCACAGACTGATGGGGCATCAAGCAAGCCCAGGAGTGAGATTGAAGGGGTGCCCACTGGCAAAGTTGGGACAAGATGAGCATCAAAATGAATCATGACAGTGATAAGTGATCACAAGTAATTCACAACTGAATCAACACAACCTGTAAATCCCTACTGATGCTCACAAAGACATAAAGAGATAAATACAGAAAGAGGGTGACAGGGAAACTTTTCTTTAGAGTAGAATTCCAACTAATAAATGCAAAGAAATAAAAGAGTTAGAAAAATCACTATTTTGCCCAAAGCAGTAATAACTGATCAGGCAACTCAGCAGATGCTGAAATTTTTTGGGAATCAGAATTAATAGTGTCAGAGTACCTTCCCGCCCCTGCCAGAAATGATTTGTTAATTACAAAGAGAGACTCTGGCAGACGTCACCTTAACAAAGTGACCCATTACCATCACCAATAACAGAACAAGCCCACATCAGGTACCTACTAATGTGATGCTCTGTGAAAATCATCAGTTATTTTTTTCCCCAAAATGCATCATCTCACATTTGCATTGTGAAGAAGCATTGTGCTCTTCCAAAATGTTAATGCATTGGAAGACAAAGAAAAACTAGAACTGTTCCATTTTAAAGGACACCGAAGGGACCACGAGGATGCAACATGTGAATCTGGATTAGATCCGGGATCAAGGGGAAAATGATAAAAAGGCATCACTGGGACAACTGGCAAAAGTCGAGTCAGGACTATGTACTAGTTGGGAATGTTATCAATGTTAAATTGTCCTGAATTTGATCATTTTACTGAGGCTCTTTAAGAGAAGGTCCTTGTTTGGGAGGGCAGGGAGAAGACAGAAACAGAGAGAGAGAGAGAACACAAATACGGCGAGCACGTTAAGTATTATGAGTGACCGTAGATGGGTATTAGTGTTCTTGTCTTTTCTGGCATCTTTCTCTTGATTTGAAATTTTTAAAGGTAAAAAATTTGAAAAAAATTAAAAAGGTAACATCATGTCTCTTGTAGTCTTTTATTAAATGCATTCTTACGATACACCGACAGGCAGCATGCTGGGATGGTCAGGTTTTCAGAGATGAACTGCATGCTGGTAACATCATGTCTCTTGCAGTCTTTTATTAAATGCATTCTTATGATACACCGATAGGCAGCATACTGGGATGGTCAGGTTTTCAGAGATGAACTGCATGCTGCTATGTCCTGCTTTCAAGGTCCTTACTCTGATAGACTATCTTTCTTTTTTTTTAAGATTTTTTTGGTCATTTTTATTTATTCATGAGAGACAGAGACAGAGAGAGAGGCAGAGGGAGAAGCAGGCTCCCAAGGAGCAGGGAGACCGATGCGGAACTCGATCCCAGGACCCCGGGATCATGACCTGAGCCAAAGGCAGACGCTTAACCATCTGAGCCACCCAGGCGCCGGATATGCTATCTTTCTATGTGCAGGCGTGAATGTGTATTTTCCCTCCTACATAAAGTGACGCGTTATAACTACATTTTAACTTTAAGGAAAGTAATTTTGAAGCACTGACATTCTGAATTCCTTTAAATGATTAGAGAAAACATTGCTAATTGGAATGAATCCAGTAAAAAGAAAACAGCACACATTTCCTATTTTAGTAAATTAGGGGCAAAAAGGTCCATAATTTCACAAATTGCAGACAATGCGACAGTCTGCCCTAATCTGAGTTGGATATTCGTGTGTCTCAGTTGGGTGGAGAACTGTGTAACAAACTTTTCTCAATATTTCGCTTTTACTGCTTGACAATCAGTACCATTTCTTTGGAACAGGAGCCAACCGGGCCTGCGGCAACACGGAGGTTAATATCTCTTAGCATTCTCAGGCTTTCAGCTGATATGTTTTCCTAAAATTTCATCTATTTATTGTCCAACAGCTTCTTGGCTATGCGTTTTTCTTCTAAAATGTACGCAAGTAGGGGCGCCTGGGTGGCTCAGTCGGTTAAGCGTCTGCCTTCTGCTCAGGTCATGATCCCAGGGTCCTGGGATTGAGCCCCGCATTGGGCTCCCTGTGCAGCGGGGAGTCTGCTTCTGCCTCTACCCCTAACCCCTGCTCGTGCACTTTCTCTCTCAAATAAATAAATAAAATCTTTTTAAAAATGTATGCAAGGAAAAGAGAGTAATATCTTCTTACTGTGTTTTATTTGTCCAACCCCTCCCCCATTTCAAGGCGAAGGGAGTATTTGTAAACAGCTAATAACCTCACTAACTTCAATCCCTGAGCACTACCAAAGGATTTCTCAGCCATCAGGAATCTGTTTCCTTAATGAATATTGGTATTTACTGGTGAGATGATAGAGTCCTCCTGTAGCTGGGTCAGTCTCTAATGATGCCCATCATCTGATGCTAAGTGGTTTAGTGTGAAAGACATCAGGCCAGTGTTTGGACCTTGCTGAGGGATAATTAGCAGTTTCATCAACAAGCTCCACTGAGTACCTACTGTGCCCCATCCTGGGCTCAACAGGGGAAACAGTTCTGAGACCCCAGGAAAGCAAGATGTGTTAAAGGTCTTGTTAAGGAAAATAAAATGTCATTTTATTATTCTGAGCTCTGGAAAGACTAGCCTGAGAGAGACCTTTGAAAACTTGGTGGAATCTGACCAGACAGTATTTGAGGCATGATGAAGGTGACTATTTGCTCTGCTGATGATGTAGCTGAGGTAAAGCGCATTACCCAATGACGGCCGAGTACGAAATGTAAGAATTCTCACGCATAGTTTCCCCGACATCTGCACAGGTTTTTCCCACGTCCAAAGTGACATGCTATGCATGATTTCAGTTGTCCCTTGGCTGACCCAGGAGCAGACAAGGCAGGAACCTATGATCTTGGGTCACACATGGGCCACTGAGGCTGAAAGGATGTGATCATAAGGAAGGAGGTACCAGCGAGCAGACAAAAACACAGGTCGTCCATCTGACTGTGGTAACCTGCGCTCCTGTCTGCCAGTATGCCCACGAATCACTGCAGATTCTTTTTTTAAGATTTTATTTATTTAAGAGAGAGAGAAAGCACAGAAAGTGAGAGGGAGAAGCAGACTCCCTGTTGAGCAGAGAGCCCGACGTAGGGCTCCATCTCAGGACTCTGAGATCATGACCTGAGCCAAAGGCAGATGCTCAACCAACTGAGCCACCCAGGCGCCCCTCACCGCAGATTCTAATGTGGTAGGTCTGGAACAGGGATACTTTTCTAATGAGCTCCTGGGCGATGCTGATTACACTTTCAGTAGCAAGACTTTGCCATTGTATTTTTTTAAATTCATGCAAAAAACAACTCCTCAAAAACTGACTAAAAAAAAAAAATTCTGAATCCTCGGATGTACTACCTAGAATGTAACATTTTCTTTTTTACCAATGCGTGTAAAATGCAGAATTGGCCATTTGAAAGTCCCTATTCAAAACGTAATAGCTACTACTTCAATAGAAATCTGGAGCAGCTAAAAGGCACTTGCCCTATTTAAATCCAGAGGTAGATTATTCATAATAAGTCTGCCTGACAGCCACTTTTAAATTATCTGGAATCTAATTTTTGGTCGCATTTCCCCAGGCCCTGAAATGAGAAATGAGAATCCTCCGTGGGGGAAGAACACCGGCTCCTTCTTGTAGGCAGCAATAGGGGCGCCCACGAGATGGCGCTCCTGGGTCGTCCGGCTCTGCGGGAGTCCGCACCGCCTTTCTGCTCGGAGCTGGCGGGGGGCCCTGCGCGGGGAAGCTGCCTGCTGTCGGGTATCTCATGCCCCAGATCAGCGAGCCGTGCGCGTCCAACAGGACCTGACGCAGTCACCCAAGCCATCCCAGCAACAGCTTATGTAGGTTAGTTTTTGTTTCCCAATGTTTGAAGCGGAGATGAGGAGACAGAAGATCAGAAAGAAGAAACCACCCTGCTTCCAAAGGTGCAGAGCCCGGAAAATGGGAGACTTTCACATTTCGGTCTCTAAAGAGGAGACGATAGTTCTTACTCCTTCAACAGTTCCTGAGCACCTCAATTTATGACGTCGGGGGGTGGGGAAGGCAGAGCAGAGGACAGCAGGGTGGGCGATGGGCAGATGAAGGAAACGTTACTAACCCCTGGAGCCCCAGGGAGAGGGGTCTGCAGAGGGGAGAGCGGCGGCCCTGCCCCGCCGAGCCGGAGGAGAGGTTGTGGGCCGGCAAATGCAGCTCCGGGAACCCCTGCAAAGAGGGGACAGCTCACACGGACTATCCGGGAACAAAGCAAATGCTTAGGGACGAGGGATTACCAGCCAATGATGTTAGATCCTCAAGTGATAAGCTCTGGCGAGAGAAGTTTATTTTACTAAGATTTTGACTCTGCTCCGACACATTCATAAGCGATTAAAAGTCAGTATTTTCCCCAGGTTAGTGAGCAACTCCTGGGGTCATTATCGTAACTAAGACTTG